CTCAACGGCACTTAACAACAACAACAACATGTTGAAGTGTAATCTATACTGAAGGCTTAGTCTTTGAACTTCATCAGCAAATACTTCAAGTCCTCTTAACATTCAGCAAGCAAGGTTGTGTCATCTGCTTTTCACAGGGTGACTATGGAAATTATTTTGCAAATGATTTTCTTGATCAGAGCCTAGTATGCTCATTATGTTTTCACGCATTTATCAAGTTTCGTTTTACTTCACTATGGAAATTATTTTACAAATGATTGTTTTGATGAAAGTCTAATATTCTCAGCATGTTTTCATTTCACAAAGTATATATCAAATGATTTTGCACCAGTCTCTGTTTTTACAAACTCTATAAGGGAAAAGGTCATATTGTTCTCAAGAATTTCCCACTTCTGGCTTGGAACCACGGTCACAGAGACATCAACCTATAGACATAACATACTATACAAAAATGTTGTTCTACATCCTACTTTGGTGAGTAGTAACTGGGTCCCTAAAAGCTTGCAAGTGGCCATCAAGATGCAACAATTGGTCTCTCCTCATCCAGAGCAAAGAAGAATGAAGAAAACCCAAGACACATGGAAACAATTAGTCCAAAGAACTAGTGGCCCATGCAAACCTATATGACCAGGAGACAAGAAGTAGAACATCGTGCCAGGCTACCACTGTCAACCACCCAGAAAGAGATCAGTGTAGGGGATCCTGGATATAGTGGGAGAACAATGTGGAACAAAACTCAAAATCATGAAAAAGACCAAGTTTACTGTTCAGATAGAGCTAATGAGACCCCCCAAGACTATGGCCCCTAGTTACCCTTCAGGCCTGGAATGGAACTCATTCCTGTGGCTTCCAGCCAAACAACAGACAGAATATAGGGTGAACATTTACACCAGGTAGATACAGTCCTTAGAACTATTGTTCAATTGTGGGAGAACAAAATGGCAGTATTTGTACAGGGAGATAGCTCAGGGGGTAGGAGTGCATAGGAAAGAAGGACACAGGGAAGAGGTGACTACAGGGAGGAAGTGGGAAAGAGCTGTTACATTGTGGGGATTGCAGTCAATGTCATGAAACAAAATGTGTATGAACTGCTGTATAGAAAATGAACTTGGTCTGTAAACTTTTACCCAAATCATAATATAAATAAATAAATAAAAAGAATTTACCCCCTCTTAACACTAAGGTCAACTGGTATAACATAGTCCACAAAGACAATGTTCTACATCCTACTTTGATAAATAGCAACTGGGGTCTTAAAGCTTGTGGATGGCCATCTAAAGTGCAACTGTTGCCCTCTCCCTGTCCAGAACAAAGAAGAGTGAAGAAAATCAAAGACACAGAAAACAATTAGTCCAAAGACTAATGGTCCACATGAACCCCAGCCTCTACCACCTTGAGACCAGAAGAACTAGATGGTACCCAGCTACCACTGCTGACTGCTTTGAAAGGGATCACAAAGGTCTATAAGGTAAACAATATATCAGGAGGGAATGCACGCAACAGAACAACCAAGAATATGAGATCAAGAGGACAACATTTGCTGAGGGATACAGCTAGGAAGGCAGGAGGAGATGGAAGAAAGAATGAAGTGGTAGGCATAGGGAGGAAGTGGAAAGAATGCTGTCACAGTATGGGGATTGCAGTTAGTGACACAAAACAGAATGTGTATGGACTGTTGAAGAGAAAACCAATTTGTTCTGTAAACTTTCACCCAAATCATGATTATTAAAAAAAAAAAAAAAAATACTATGAGAAAAAAAAAGAAAAAGAATTACCTACTGTGGTTCAAAGAATAATATAGACTCAACAATTCAGGATAGCTAAACATAGCCTAAAGATAGCCTAGATTCAAGGCTGATTATTAAAAGTAGAAATTAAGTGCAAGAAAAAAAGGTAAACTGCTATACTTTGAAGTATTATTAGTTATCCCAGAGTACCTAACTTAAATAAACAATATTTGTCATTTAAATTTCTAGGACTTATTATTTTTAAAAATAACTTTAAAATTAATTTTCAAAAACACAAATGGTTTTCTAAATATATAAGATTCAAAATTATTAGTATTTTCTTTTCTTACTCTATCAGAAACAGGTCTCCAGCCATTGTTCTCTATACGACGATACCAGCCACTATGATCATCTTCCTGAAGATTATCACTTTTAATATGAGACGTATATTTTGGTGGAAGTTTTGTGTAATCTCTAGGACTGTTAGCACACAGATCTTCAATATGTCTGTGAGTGAAAATTTTATAATATATACTGGGTGGAAATTTAACCTGTAGGTGGAAGAGTTCAAAATATAGATACAATCTAATTATAAAAATATTTCAGTTTAAAAAAATTATATGTTTCAAAACTCATAGAAATGTGCTTTAAAACTAATAAATAAGAATTCATCCATACTTACTCCACCTAACCTGAATCGTACAATAACGCCCGCAGCAGCATCTAGAAGACTGGCCTACAAGAAAAATATATTTTTTCAATATTCTGTAATATCAATTAACTTCTTCTCACTCTATTATTTTAAAATAATTTATTAATACTGATTTTATGAAATAAGTTAACTAAATAGATCTCATAAAATTAATTTTAAATTAGAGAATATTGTAAGATCTAAGGCCTTTCACCAAAGAGGATATTCAGGGGGCTAACAAACACATGAAAAGATGCTTGTGATTATTAGGCATTAGAAATTTGCAAATCATATTTACAATGAGATACTATTTCACTCCTCCACAAATAATACTGATCAAAAACATAGAAAACAACAAATGCTGGTGGGATTGTGAAGAGATTAGCACTCTTATTTTCTGCTAAGGGGATTATAAAATGGTACAACCACTATGGAAAATGGTATGATTCTTCTTAAAAAGCTGTTCTTGTTGTTAGGTGCCATTGAGTTGGTCTCGACTCATAACGACCCCTCCTTGGGTTTCCAAGGTGGTATCACTACGAAAGTAGATTGCTCAACCTTCCGTCCGAGGAGTGGCTGGTGAGTTTGAACCGCCAGCCTTCTGGTTAGCAGTCAAGTGCCTTAGCCACTATGCTACCAGAGCTCTTTCTTAAAAAGTTAGAAATAGAAAATACCTTAAGATCGAACAATCCCATTCTTAGGTATATATCTAGAGATATGAGAGCAGTGACAAGAAAAGACATATGTACACTTATGTTCATTCAGCATTATTCAAAACAGCAAAAAGATAGAGAAAACCTAAGAGCTCATCAACAGATGTATGTAAATTGTGGTACATACATACAATGAGATACTATGCAATTGTAAAAAATGAAGAGTCTGGGAAACATAGCATGGATGAATCTGGAAAACATTATGCTGAGGGAAATAAGCCAATCACAAAAGGATAAATATTGTATGGTCTCACTTTTATAAAAAATCAAGAATATGTATACACACAGAAAGCACGTTCTCTTATGGTTATGGGGTGGGGATGGGGAGATCAGAGAGAGAATTACTTTCTAGATAGTAGACATTTACTATTTTGGTGACAATAAAGGCAGTTTGGCCAATCTACTTCCATAGAGACACTGCCTCAGAGACCTAAGGAGTTGCTATGAGTCAGAAATGACTTAACAGCAATGAGTTTGGTTTTGTTTTAAAGGCAGTACTCAATATGAGTGAAGTCTGAACAACTTGACCAAAGTAAATGAAGACACTAAGAAGTACACAAGAATAAGGCATGGTTTTGGTAAATGCTATAACATATACAATTTTTCAACAACACTAATACCAACCAAAAATATGAATGAGCGTGGTTACACAGGTATATATGTATGCATATATGTGTATAGGAAGGCATATGCATGTATAGGTGCATCTGTAGGCATATGTATATACCTGCATATATGTGTATAGGAAGGCATACACATATATAGGTGCATCTGTAGGCATATGTTTGAGTATGCTACATATATATTCATATATATAATAAAGCACATAGGGACACAACACTGGAGAATTCTTAGATCTATCCAAACACCTTGCAGGATTGGTTTACTGGTTAAAAGGCTTAGGACATAGTCTTTTGGGACAATTCAGTCAACTGAAATAATTCACAAAGTTTTATATTCTAGTTTCATTGAGTAGCATCTGGGGTCTGAAAAGGTTGAGAGAGACCAGTTACAATACTACTGTTGGTTTCTACTCATCTGGAACAAAAAAGAATGAAAGAAACTAAAGACTCAAAGAAGAAATTAGTTCACAGGACTAATAGCCCACACAAACAATGGCCTCTTCTAACCTAAGACCAGAAGAACTAGATGGTATCTGCTTACTACTACAACCACCATTCTGACTGTTGTTGTTGTTGTTGTTGTTGTTTGCCATCGAGTCGGCCCCGACTCATAGCGACCCCTCCTTGG